CTATTCCACAGTTATTGCTGAATCCAAAAAAAGAATGATGGCTATGTAGAAAGCTTGTTTCTCAGGACCTGTTAGCTGACCAACATGCATCTGCACATATTTGTAAAGTCAGCATGGATATTTTTCTATTGGACACTCCTGCTTGGTGCCTTAGGGATTGTTCAAATAGACAAAAGTGCTACTGCAAGTGAGCACAGTTTTTCCCAAAGAGGGTGGGGGCTTACTGATGTTGTTGTCTGTAAAAGCCAGGTGGTCCAAAATTATTTCTCCAGGCTTCCCAGGAAGAATTATTTACAGTGGTGCCTCGCTTAGCGATTGTCTCGTTTAACGATGTATTCGCTTAGCGATGAGGCTTTAGGAGCGATCTTGCGCTCTGTTTAGCGATGTTTCCAATGGGGGAATTTTGCATAGCGATGTTCGGGACCATGCCTCGCATAGCGATGACAGTTTGGGTCCCCCTGTTTCGCTTAGTGATGTCCGTTTTCGCTATTTTTAAAGTGTCTTAAAATGTTCAAAAACTGTTTAAAATGCTTGGAATTGTTAGTGCACCCTGTAAAACCTTTGCAAACTTAATTTGGCTTTGTTCTGAGTCTTCGTTAATTTTTGGTGAATTTTCCCCCCCATTGGAATGCATTGAACTGCAGGTTCAGTGCAGGAAAGGGAAGGAAAAAGACACTGATCTCAGCAAATTCAACATTGTTTCATTTGATGAGCAGGAAAAATAACTGAAAGCAAGAACAAGGTACTTTTGTTTCCATGTGGACAAGTACTTGTTTAATCTCTTGGAAATGCATCCCTATGTTTCTATAGGGCATGTGCAACTTGACTTGTGTGTTCTGATAAGCATAGCTTTGATCAGAACTGTGGGTCTTAATGTCAGCTAAACTGATCTGGCTGAGGCTTAATGCTGTTTATTGCAAGTAGTTAAAACAATGTTATATCTGTAACAGTTTTTTAAAAAAAAATCAAAGTAGCAGTGTTATCTGTGAGGAAATGTTCTGGGTTACGTAAATCCTTTATTGGATGATGACATAACAAACAAAGTTAATTTAGGAATCCTTCAGAACTTTTCAGGTAGATTTTATAAAACGGGAGAAAGAGGAAGAAGCAGGCACCTTCCCACATCCTAGCTAAATTTTACGGCTGTTCTTGGAGGCAGATTGCGGAGCAAAGCAAGATGAGGTTGCAAAGTCAATTTGAAACAATGGTTTCAGGTTATCAGTTTACAGCCTTTCTGCTTTCGTAGACAAATGCCTGGCTGTCCTCTGTAAATCCATCAGTAATAGCACTTAAACAGCATCACTTTCCAAATACGTCACTGGCGTTATCTCCATAATCCTTACAACAGCTGTGTCATGTAGGCCTCCCATTATTGGAGGTGTGGTTGTAACTCTGAGAAGGACCTGCCTAAAGTTTCCCGGTGAGTTCATGGCCATGTTAACCCCTCTTTTTTATACAGTGGACCCTCGACTTACATACGGCTCGACTTACAGACTTTTCGAGTTACAGACTTCTCTGGCCACAAAATTTAGATTCAACTTGCAGCCGGAGAATTGACCTACAGACCAGAAATTAACCAAAATGGAACAAAAATAGAATAAAAACTGCCAGTTATGGGATTAATTGGTTTTCAATGCATTGTAGGTCAATGGAGATTTGACCTACAGACTTTTCGACTTGCAGCCACTGTTCCAATACGGATTAATTCCGTAAGTAGAGGGTCCACTGTATCACTCATTTGAATCAACTGTCCTGAGATTCTTTTAAAGTCATTACGTACAGAGTATTAGCCATAGATGATAGGTTTAAATGGTAAAAGCCTTTTCGTACTTAGTGCCTGCATCTTCCAAAACTCGAAGAGAATGTTGCTCCTGTGCATTTCAAGAGTTGTCTGGAGAGACTAGACAGCTTGGAAGAGTGTTTCCTCTCAGTCCCAGCTACTGTTCCAGGGTGGGCTTGTGCACACTCAACATGTCTGCTTTCTGTTCCTTGTATTCAATTTAGTTTACTTTAGTTTAATAAATGTATGTCCTGCCTTTCAGCCAAAAACGGCACATGAGACAGCTAACAGTAATAAATTAATGTACAAACAAATGCAATTAAAATGCAAAAACAGATCAGTCAAAAACACATCAACAAACAGATGGTAGCACCTAACTGATGGACTTCCTCTTTCCAGGTGCAGTCGAGCATAAATGGCAGAGGTCTGTCTGAAGAGAAACTTTTTGCCTTTTGCTGGCAAGCAAACAGAGTAGCCTCCTTTGACAGGTTATTCTAGAGTTCCACTAAGTTTAAAGTCTGCCAAGTACTGATCTGTCCATGACAATGGAACTGCAGATTGCTCCCCTGTCCCTGGGTCACAATCACACAGCTCTTCTTCAGCATCCTTCAGTCTCAAAAGACCATGGTAACGCGCTCTGCATGAGTGTCCTCTCCAGAGCACTAAGCCTGGGTAGAATAATATAGAGGACAGACTGTTACCCAAGCAACAAATCCCCCCTCTCCACGTCACTGAACTAGTCCAATGGAAAGGCAAGAGGCAATACAACTGGTTCCAGCGACGTCGCAGGAGTTGTCAGAACAACACAAACTGCCTTCAGGACTCCGGCTCCGGATTTTGCCTTGAGGTTAACTCCTGAAGCCTTTTCCATCAGTGGATATAGCCACAAAGCAGTGGAGGTTTGAAATCAGAGTTTTCCTTCTCCTAGATGGGCTGCCTTCCATGGCTGACAAGCCCCACCTACCCGGTCCAGGTGGATCGCGCTTACTCAGAACTCTCCACTATGACCTGTCCATCTTGGGTGTCCCTTGTGACACATTTCAGTTTTAATTTCTTTGAGAGCATGTTCAGAGAATACACATCCACAGTTCCAAAGAAAGCAAAACCGATGCCTTCCGTTCATTTCCAACCCAACTACAGGGCAAATAAAATGGGCACTCTGGATGTCATCATATTTGTCCCCTTTTGTATTCCCCCTTGTGAGATTCAATTAAATGACATTCTTAATACTCTTGGTGTGGGATGCAGCCTCCACAAAATAAGGTTTGTCTCCTTCAGCCTACGTGGCTGGGAGGATCTCTGGGGTTCAGAGATCCTGCCTGGAAGTCTAGCATCTTGCAAGGCGAAAACAAATGACAATGCAGCAATTTTTTAAAACCTTAAAACATAACTGCTTAGTCTTACAAAGCAAGTGTCACCTTAGTTAAGAACAGTGCTTACAAAGCAAATAAGTATGTAGAAGTTACTAGTCTTCACATTTTTTGTTAGTCCACCTGAGCACATGCCTCTCTTAGGCTTCTGACTATATGCTATAAAAAGGGCCTGTGATCCATCTGGAATCTATAAAGACAAATTTGTATGAAAAAAAACCTTGTGGTGTACTCTCCTGATCAACAATACACAACAGGAATCGGATGTTCTGGTCTCACTGCAACTGGAAACTTTGGCTTCCTGTTACATGAACAAACTTACAGTAAAAGTCTAAATAATAAATAAATAAATAAATAATATTTGGATGCATTTCTCTCCTTTATATTGCATGTTGTGCCTCCAGTCAACATTCTTTGTTTCAAAAAGACAAGTAACTGGGTTCTAAATCAAATCCAGGTCACTAGAAGTTCACATGATTAAGGTAAGGGTACTATATTTTAGACATATGAGAAGACTTTGTAGAACAGACAGTAGCATGTTAACTCAAAAAGGAAGCCAGGGCTCTTCATTTGTGAGACCCAAGTGGGGCTGCTAATGATAGGACCTTTTGGAGTAATTAATTTTCTAGGATTGCTAAACTGAAAGGACTAGATGGGCATAACACATACAAATGCTGCTGTAAAGTATTATTCTTTTGCATTTCAACATCTGTTTCAGTGATTCAAAATCAGTTTGTTACACACACACACACGCGCGCGCGCGCGAGAGGATCTGGAGTGGACTTTGAGAGATGAATGGAGTTTGGTATCATTCACAACAGACCCATGATAGCTGTGGAATTCTGATTCACTTCCAGTATGTTGGCTTCAGTGTTTATGTTAAAGTTTCCCAGCCAAATAAACCAGCAGGAGCTCTAACATCACCCCTGAGGCCAACCTAGCTAGCCCAGGAGGGAAGCCTGTTGGGCAATAGGGTGGAAAGTGCAGGACCACCTTCAGTCCTGGTTACCTGCCTTCAGATATATACATTCAAACAAGAAGACTGGGATAGTGAGGTGATATCATGATGACAGACCACTGCAATTCTGTGTCGTCATTCCCTCAATCTCACCTGCCATTGCATAGAGAAACAAGGTGGGCAAAGCTGGATGGGTTTCCCATCTAGTAACTTACGAAGCCAGGTCTGTGTCACACAGTCCAGGTCAGTATAATTAGCCAGGTCTGAGTCCTAAATGGTAGTTTCTTCATGCTATATATTTACCTCTGTTTCAAGTCAATACTAGTAACGGGTCACACAGTACTTTTCTCAGGTTTACCTTTTCACTGAATCAGTCACCCTTTTGTGCTCATTGTTTGCACCAGCAATCTAGCTATCTATCCGGCTTCTCAGTGTTGGAACCCTGAAAAATTATTTTACCCCAGCTCTTGTGTATTCATTTCAGTCAATTAAAAACAAAGCTCTAGCAGTTGTTAAGAGGGAACATTTTCTGTTCTGGAAAATGTATCAGAGAGGTTTTTGTCCCTTGATGACTTTTTTCCCCATAAAGCAGCTTTCTTCCTGAACCCAGGATGTGTCGCTACATTTTAATGGTTGTCAGTCCTGCTCGAAAACAGCAGTATTCTGTCAGCGTATCTCACGTATGCAGTTTCAATGCTATAAATGCATTTCAAGTTAGAGAATTTTGTCACAGTCCTTGAATCTGCTCCTGTCTAAAATCTCTTCCCTTAAGAGTTGTCTGTGACATTTGCAGGCAATTGTTAGCTTGCAACAACAATTACTTTCTTGATGAATTAGAAGCCAGTTGCTTTGGGCTTCTCAAAGAACCACTTTATTAATTCTATTATTACAGGTTTTATTTCCGAAACTGGCATGGGATGAATGACAAGGAGCCAGCAGTCTGTCGCAACATCCCTCGCTTGAATGATTCAGAGGACAAATCACAGAGGGGAGAGCAAGGCAGTGCCTTGCTGGATAAATCATCATTTGAGTATCTCTTTGAGCAAGTATGAAGTTTTGTTGATCTTTGTTGAGATTAAACCAGCTGGTACCCCATATTCCTTGGCCTTTATCTCTGTCTCTGAACTAAGTATCTTTAGGATCCTGTAGCTATGTGTACCAAACTTAAAATAGCTCTTGGACTGAGATCTCAATCCTCAGAGGCCCAACTTCACATTGTAAAGCACTGCTGTTTGTCTCAGCTCTCCTTCCACCAGCTTGATCACAATATGTTGCAAGCATATGGAAGATGTGTGCTGTTGTGAAGGGTCCTCAGAAGAAATAGGTGCAGCTGTCAAGCGCTAGGAGCCTAAGTACCAAATCAGACTGGGTCATAAACAGTAGATCAGGAGGGTGAAAGTGACAGACAGGCACTTAGAGATGTGGGAAGCAGGAATAGATGATTGTGGAGCTGATGAGTTCCAAAGAAAATAAGCCAGAAGAATGAAAGTATTGAAGCAATGTAGCATAGCCAGAGAGAGCTGGAGGATGGTTCAATTATAATAATCAGCTACTCGTAAGTTATAGGTCAGGTTGCCTTCCCTGACTAAGACCACGTGGAACAAATAGCCAGATTCCTGCATCCTGTATCTCTGTCTCCCAAGAGCTCTGTGTCAAGTGGTCCTTCTGAGCAACATTCTACAGGGGAAGTAGAAGTCCTTTCTCTAAGTTAGTAGGCCACTTAATCATCCCCTTCCTTGCCTGCTTTCCTCAGATGTCATATTCATTCACACTTTGAACCCTAAATGAGAACAAAAGAAAAAGAGACTCTCTATTTTGGAAATGTACTTTCTTTAAAGCTACCTATTCTTGCTGTTTTTCCAGGGGAAATATGACTTCATTAATGATGTGGCCTCTCTAAAAGATATACGGACTGAGCAGGAGATACACCAGTTTAAAAATGAGAGTCTGGGGATGGCTGTCCTCCACCTCTGTCACATTGCCCTCAAGAAAGGCATCTCTCTTGAAGAAGCAGCAGAGAGAACCAGGTGATTGCTGTAACTGTGGGAGTTAAAATGGTTTTACCGGAATGCTTCCCAGCCCTGTAAGCCCAAACTCCTTTTAGGAGGGTTGCAACTGTTAACTGTTGAACCCGTTGCTGAAGCACCATTGCAAGCACTGGGCTCTTTCACACCCCTTCCCTTAATTTCCCACTGTGTGCCCTAGGGGAAGAGCCAGTCTCTGCTGCTTTGAGCAAGGTGTATAGTCCCAGGGTCAGGAAAATGGTAAACCATGTCTTAGTATTCTATAGCTAGAATACTCTGAAGAGGACCACCATAGGTCAGAACTGACTTGACAGTGCGTAATTATTATTGTTAGTGGCCAAAGGGAGGAGCAGAGCACAAATTCTGCGTGCAAAAAATCTTATTCTGATTTGAATTCCTGGCATGAAATAAAGTATCTTGGATAATCAAGAGAATAGGTCTCCATCTGTAACCTGGGTGAGATATTGCTACTACTGCTATTCAGGGATGTATGTACAGACCCTGGGCAGGGGAATGCCACTCAGATGGTAGATTAAAAGAGGGGTTGCTCAATGACTATTTCCATTCATTGCAGCTTTAAGGAGTGCATCCCTTGCTCCTTCTGCCGTCAGATTCAGCAGAATAATTACCTGACAAAGTTCCGCATGAGGCATGTTTTCAGGAAGTTCTTGCAGCGCTTCCAGCGGCATACAATGAGCACTGGCAAACTGACAGAGCAGGACATTATGCACAAGTACCTGTCCACTTTGGAGAACCTAGCCCCACGCTTCGGGAGTGAACTGTTCACAGTCCTTTCACTGGAAACCATTTCGGAGGGCGAGAAGGTGCCTCTTTACATCAATGGGGGGAATACTCATCTGGAAAACTCCCACGCCTCTCCTCCCAGCGACAGTTCTGCCACCCATGAGGTTCTAGTCACAGGCACGGACGGCATTCGGTGGCGGCCCATCTCTGCTGAGGTAGGATTATGTTTGCATTCATCACCAACTTTTTCTGGGAGTCATTACAAAAACTTTCAGCCTCTTGGCATGGGGACTTTATTTATTTGTTCGTTCATTCATTTATTTATTAATTCATACGTTACCTTTCTCCTGAAGGCTCCAAGGCAGCTTACAGTATGAAAAGAAAGAAAGTCAAAAGCTAAAATAATAAATTATTACAATATAAAATTTTTAAAAAAGAAACATCTGATTAAAGCTTATAAATAAAAGCAATATTTTTTAAAAAATGAATAAAACAGCAGTATATAATAATCCCTTTAAAAAAATCCCCTTGGTCAACCAATCATTTTTTAAAAATCTGTCTGGAGAGAAAGGTCTTCATCTGCTTGCAAAATGACAGTAAAGATGGGGCCAGCCTGACTTCCTGTGGGAAGGAGTTCCAAAGTCTGGGAACAGTGTGAGACGGGGCCTTCTCTTCTGTCCCCACCAAAGGCACCTGTGAAGGTGGCGGGACCGAGAGAAAGGCCATCCTGATGACCTTAACACTCAAGCAGGCTTGTAAAGGGAGCCTGCAGTCCTTGAGATAGCTTTGGGCCAAGGCTGCTCAGGGCTTCAAAGGTTAGAACCAGCACTTTGAATTTTGCCTGGAAATGGATTGGTAGCCAGGGGAGCTGCTATAACAAGGGAATTATATTTTCTTTTTTAGGAGAATTGCCTAGCAGTGCATTGTAGGAATGTTGTCCTAACCTGGATTGGGAATCTATAATGGGTGCATAATATTGTTCTGCACAAGATATTTATTTTGTTTGTTTTTATCTATAAATTTATATCAGACAATAATATACCCGGTATGGTGTAGTGGATAGAGTGATGGACCAGGACTCGGCAGGGCTGGGTTCAAATCCCTGCTCAGCCAATGGGAATTAGTTGGGAGTGTGGAACTTTTAAAACCATGCCTTAAATATCTCACTTACCTTGAAAACTTTATTAGGGTCAATATAAGTTGGTTCCAACTTGACAGTACTTTACATCAAATAATATATTGACTTAATTACTGTTTTGAATGATCAAAACAATAAGGCAAGGGGCTAGACAAACCCTATTTGAATCCTTTTCCTGAATTAGAATAGAATTATTTAAAAATATGTAGGTTATCTCTGAAAAATGGGGAGTACACTGAAGAAAATGTAACATGGAAATACATGCAGTGGCTGTAGAGGTAGCATATTTTTGTTTGTTTTTATTAACCTGTCTTTTGGGGCTTGAAGTTGATAGATCTTGAAGGTCTTTAGTGTGGATATACAGTTTTGATTGGCACTGCTAATGAGGCAAAAAAAAATTTTTTTGGTCATCAACTGTGCCCTTCTTGATTTTGGCAGGGAAGACTGCCTCATCCGTGGCCTGGCATTGAACTTCAGTGATGCTTGGAAAACAGCCTGATGACTTCATACTGAGTTTCTGGGCTCATATTTAAAAATGATCTGGTCTGTGGCAAGGCCGTACCTTGTACTTGACTTTAGAGAAAAATGGCTTGATGATGTGACTGTGGTCGACTGCTCTGGGATAATAATCAGAAGCTTGAGTCTTCCTATTTTGAATCTGCTTCTATCTATCTGGCAGGAGTAATCCTGGTTTCTTGGAGCAGTGAGAAAAAATGTCTTAGCAAGAAAATCGTCCAGTGATGGGCGGGCAGTCAGTGGTATTAACCTGGCATGCCATTCTGGTTGCCTTTGTAATTGTGACAGCACACAATAAATCTCAAGGCACTCCAGGTCATCTGAGAGAGAGTATTTAAATACAAAGATAGAGGCATGTCTCTTGAGTATGCTGGCCTAAGTTACTTAGGTTGCCAGTAATTGCTAACATTGTATTGAGAATAGTAAGCAGTCAAGAGCCACTGAAGATGCTGAAGTACTACTGCAGTTCTCCACTCATAACAGAGGTCAGAGAGGACAATACAATTTATAGCCGGTGAAACGTTGTCATCAAGGGCAGTCAGAGATAAAGCTCATTTCAACTAGGAGTAGCTAGTGATAGGAAAGTGTTTCCAGCTATTGCACCTACTATGTAAAGGTCCTAGAAAAGTCACTGGGGGACACTGGAGTGTTTGACTAGGAGGCTGGCTAAACATGGGTAAACACCTTACCCTAGTGCAGGTTCCAGAGTCCTCACTCAGAGATGTTGGAGTCTTCCCCACTGTTGTCAGTTGAATCTTCTGATGAAACCAGTGTAGATCAGTTGATTTTGTTAGTCTCCTGTCATTAGCCTGTGAACTGAAGGAGAACCTGTAGCAAAATCTTTTGGGCTTCTATCCTGCTGAAGAATTGGGGATGAGGGCCAGTCTGAGTGGCCCTAACTGGCCTCCTCCCACCATGAGAGCAGGAAATCACAGGTGAGAAGGAATTCCTGTCCCTCCATGCAACAGCTAGTGCTCTCTTTTACACCACTGCTATATCTTTGCCAGAGCTAAGATTTCACACTGCCCTTGAAAAGTAAGAATGTTCTTGGTGAAACACAGCAAATTTTGACCTACTTTAACGAGATTACAAAAACCTTGTGTTAGAGCATGGAGCAGTGGTATATATGGATATAATACTGTATATTGTGACTGATATATATACAGTATATAATATATCAAATAATAAGCAGGGTTTGTAAACCAGAAAGAGTGTATACTCCTTCTCTCTTGAGCCGCACTTAATTTATTTATTTATTTATTTATTTGATTTATATCCAGCCCATCTGGTATAATTATACCACTCTGAGCGGCTAACAACAGAACAAATACAATTAAAACAAAAATTAATCCATAAATATCCATTATTAACAGACATACTAAAAATAATAAATGATAGATAAGAAAAGGAAAAAGTTAAATTAAATAAATTAAATTAACTTAAATGCTGGCAGGAGGGAAGGCCTGGACATAAAGCCATGTTTTTAGTTGGATTTTGAATGTACCCAGCGTAGGGGCCGCGCGAATCTCAGGAGGAAGATTGTTCCAGAGGCGAGGAGCCACCGCCGAGAAGGCCCGGTTTCGAGTCTTTTCCCT